AAAAGTATTTTCCAAAATCGATCAAAATATGTTCATAAAGAAGCAAACTACAACAGTTGACTTATTCTCCATAAGAATAACATGGGAATTTTAAAATAACAATTTTTTTGAATTTTCTCCGTAACAATTAGGCGCATAATAACGCTTCAATATACTAAATTATTTGTTTTTTTATGGTCAAAAATGGGAAAAACCTATTTTTGCCCCATAAAACCCCCCATAAACCCCCGTTCCCATAGTCCGATCATGCTGGTTCGCGAACTCATTCAAGTTTATCCCACCTTACACCTTCAAACCAAATTTTATCAGAATCGGACAAAAATTACTCAAGTTATCGTGCGGATGGACACATATATATATATATATATATATAGATATATAAAAATTTGAACGAATGGTGTTTTTGGCCTCTAGGGACATCAAAATGAAAAAGTAAATCGGTCCCGGGCTTAGGTCTTACCATGAGACCTACGGTAATAGCTACTTCCCTATAGGGAAATTCGCTAAAACAAACCTACTATTGTTCACCAGTACAACAACGGAATGGGAGGAATAGACGGAACCGACCAAATGCTGTACACATACTTGGACGAACGACGATCAATGAAGCCTTGGAAAAAGGTTATATTTAACATATTTGGACGTATGATGCTAAATTCATATGTTCTTTATAAACTGAACACAGATTCGCCACTCAGTCGTGTTTCCTTTATTTCAATGGTTATCGATGAACTTTCAAATTCGTGGCTACAAACAAAATTAGGAGTGGTTGGAAATGGAGGTGGAGGTGATGCTCCAAAGGGAAAGGGATTTGGTTTAGAAAAAATACCTGATGGTAAAGAAAAAAACTGTTCCGTCTGTAGTGGGAAGAAAAATCCAGAGGGTAAAAGGCGAAGGGCTCGGACAATGTGTTGCATGTGCAAAGCCGGCTTGCACGCCGAGTGTTATAACAACCATCGATGTAACTAATCACATAGTTAAAATAGGCTATCACCTGTTCTTAGATAATTTTTTTACTACTCTCAGACTTGCAAGATTTTTGTATTCTAAATCCTTCAGCTTTTTGTCTAGGCCCTACTGTAAATTCTTATTTTCTTCTTGTTCTGTTACAGTAAGTTCTTATATGTTCTAGATTTCCTTTTTTACTTTGTACTAAGCATGTTTATGTGTTCAGCTTGGGTTCTTTTTGTACAATAAAGCCTAGTGTTGGTCGAAACCATAATAGGCTACCTATATTTTTGTCAAACTGTAAAAAAATCATTTAACTTTATAAAACCATGATATATATATGCCTATCAATTGTTTCTGCTATGTCAAACTAATTTCCAGCATGTTCTGTATATTTTACTTTTTATGTACCATCATGTATCATTTGCGTTTTCAAGGACCTAAGCGCTAGACGAGGCAAATACTAATTTTTTTTAAATTTAAATTTTCTTTATCTTTTTAAAAACTAAGCTAAGTTAGTTAGTCTATTTATCTTAGTTCATATTGTCATGTTCTCTCACATTTAATTATTGCATGTTCTGAATGTCTCGCTTTCCAATAACTTAGATTGATAGGCTACTGTAATGTTCACCCATGTTGAAATAACAGAAATAAACTTTTTCCGAAAAAATGTCATAACTTTTTTATTTATTAATATTTTTGCACAAACTTTTCAGGAACTACTTATAATTATATACTAAAAATTAATACAATAAATAATTTTAATTATGTTATTGCTTCAATGTGGTTTTTACTTCTTAAAATGCAATTTTAAAAAATACACAAATATATTTTTTTTATTCTAAAAGGTAATTTTTTTAAATTATTAAATTTGTATTTTTATTTTGTTAATTATTTGTTGCTTAGCAAATAAGCTAAAAGGTGGTACAAAAACCAAGTTTCTATCTTTAAAATGAAAAAAGTTACAAGTGTTTTTATAGTAACCTGCAAAATTGTCTATTTTCGCCCTGTCATCCTCAGTACCGCTTATTCTAATTGAACCTGTCACCTTAAGAAAATTATCCAGAATTTCCTCAGGGCTCAAAGGGTTAAATAAGTATAGATATTTCAATATAATTAACCGTTTAGCCATAAAATGCAATATTTAGATAATAAATTTGAAAATTCGTAAAAAAAACATTAATTTTTCTATTAAAATTTTTTTTTATAAATCATTAAAAAATTTATTTTATTATTTTAATTGAAAAATTTGAATGTTCTGAGCATTTTTATATCAGTAACATAACTTCTCCTTTCAATTTATATTTTCTGTAAAATTTTAAATGTTGTTGCTAGACTACTATAATAAACTAGCATAATAAATAATAATGCGGAAACTCTTGGCAAGCAGTAGAACTCAGTCTGATAATGAATAAGGTTGGAGTAATTATGTAACAGGATACAAAGATAATTGTTTTAATAAAAACATAATTGGATTAAAGGGGTTCGTTTTCTACTACATACAATATTAACCTATTTCAACTGATTTAAAGGGTGTTTTTAAAAGAATTCCGGGATTTTAAATGATAATTGTTTGGGTACTATTCAAGTAAACCTAAACGTTTTATACTTCAAATTGAAGCTAAAATAATTTATTTCCCTTAGCAAGGGAGGAAACTTTGGCCTTGGCGTGCGCAAAATAGGTGTGCGGTGGTAGGCCGCTATTGTGACTCATACGCTTGACGCCAGTCGCCAGTACGACGGTTTACGGCACAACAGAAGACACAGATTGCAATCAGTTGTTTTCATAGTTTATATCTATTGCTAAATTAAACTAAATTTATCTACTTGATGATAAGCTGGTTTAATGAGTTTTGTGGCACCGAAGTCTTTTGAAAAGACATTCACCTGGCCGGCTAAAAACAAGCATAGTCGAAGAAATCCGACACTTCTGCATCAGAAGCCCAAAAAAAATCGATTGCCCGATGAAGTCTTCAGTTGAACAAACCTAAATTGGTCTCTTGATGATGTTATCTATAAAAGATAGAGTCGTTGTGCCGAAAAAGATTGAGTTAAGACATCAGAAAAACCCGCCTTAAGCGTACAGACTTTGCCAGTTTTACGCTCATATAAGATTGAAGAAAATCTTAATTTTATTAAATCATTCCGAATTGTATCAAATAATGAGAAACAAACTTTATTCTTTTCCCTTCAATTTGACGTTTAAATCATTTAATTATCTTGAATAGTCCCCGAGCAACGACCGTTTGAAATCCCGGCATTCTTTTAAAAACACATTCATTTAATGTCATAATCCTTTGGTAAATTTAAATATCCATTTACTATAATATTTAATATCCATTAGGCAAATAGGTTGGCAATGTGACCCAATTCCTGCATATTTTTTCATGGCATTTTTTTTTTTATTGTGTTTCATGCGCTGTTGGGTTCCAGTGCCAACGTCGTACTCAACTATACATCTGTGCGGGTTAACGATGACCCCGTTCGATAATTCCTTCTTAAGGAATTAGATTATTTACTCGGATATAAAACGTGTCATGGATCTTTAAATTGTAGATTCCTGTGTGATCCTCTCATCTAAATGAACTTCAGGGCTGACCATGGCAAAGGCGAAATTGAATTGACAAATTTTATCCAAATAATTTCTAGATCTAAGCCTCGCAACCCTGATTTAGATTGGGAGTTCCCAATAAGTTCCTGAAAGTAAGGTGAATTACGCAGATGAGGTAGACGGTTCTTTCATTCATGGTAACAAAGAGTACAAATTTAACTGTTTCGGCCAGACTTTTCTTTGCTTAAAATGGAAGCCATCACAATGTAAACATTTAGCGTTAATTTGTCTGAGAAGATGTATCCATGATGTATCACCACAGTGGTACTGCCACTCTGTATCGTTCAAATGTTCCATTGGTAGGTTGATGCAAGCGGTCACGTCCACGTTCCCTCTAGCCACTCACAGTTCTTCATCTTACTGGTGGCTTCATTTTAAATTGAGATAAAATACAGAAGTTAACCAAACAACATAAAACACTACAACGGAATTTTTATATACATTGTAAATTACGTGATATAGTAATGCAACGGGTGGGTAACTGCACTGTGAATAATAACTTTCAAACATTCACTTATTCATCACACCGAACTGTAACCAAAACTACATGATAATTCAGTAAAATAAGAAGCAAGGTAAATTAATTAAAATCTTACGAACAATTTGTCATCAATTTTTGCTAGAAACTATTTTATGAACCAGACTTATTTAACAGATGTTTAAATAAAAATATATATTCCGGCTTTGCTCTGGAAGTATTGGGTCCTGCAGTCTGTGGTTAACTTGAACAACTATTTCAAACTACGTCCATATGTTTTAGTTGTAAACAAAGGGAATTGAGTTTAATCAAATGTCAACAGATATCGCCGCCGTTCCCAAACTTTAGCCCTCAACTGTACTTAAGATATGCCCTTTCTTAATATTCTGAGACGTATTTGCACATCTACGTGAAAAACCCTTTAATTTGGCACCTCAAACGTTAAAATCTGTCAAGCCGTTATCGAGTTATGACTGTGAAAAGAAAACTGCTTGCGTATTAATATATAGAAGATGAAGCAACTGTTAAATGAAAAACTGTCTGTAGCTTCATTGTTATTTAAATGGTTTCAACAAACAGCTGTAGAAATATTATTATTATTTATTTCCTTGTCTGCACAAATATAAACAAAATAAATGTTGAATATTTGAGGTTTTCATGATTTTTCACCGAAACAAATATTACACTTAAACATAATGTTATATATGGTACCAAATAAAAACTCTCACTGGTTATTTTGGTGGTGGAACCACGCTGATCGGTAAAAGAATCAGAGAAATTGGTGAACATACATAGAAAAAAAAACATTGCCACAAACAAATTGAGAACCTCCTCCTTTTGTTAGTAATGGGGAAGTCGGTTAAAAACTATTGTGAGGTTTAATTTTATTGTTTTTACATGTGTTGTAAATCAAAACAACTAATTTCATTGATTTTTTAGTTGGACTTTTTTGTGGGGTTTCAGATCCCAGTTCAATGATAAGATGTACAATAAACCGATCAGCATCAGACTTTAATCGCTCTTATGGAGAGGAGATGGACATTGATGAACCAGTTTCTTTCAGCAGTCGCAATAACTACGGCGACATACAAGTGGCCTGGAAGAATGAATTCACACCTTACAGCCGTCAGGTAATCAAAGTTGTAATTGGTCAGTTTACATTTTGTCCTTAATTTTTTTAAACGTTTTTACTAGCTCGCTTTCTTGTCCGGTACAAATTTTGCAATCAATTTTATACTAACTTCCCGATGAGCTAGAGACTTGAAACTTGAAACATAGCTCACAAATGGATGACCATGCAATATTATACGAGGGTAGTTTTTTTTTTTCAACCTCTGATAGGCTATAAATAAAAGACAAGTCCATATAAAATAATACATTTATTACCAAAAGAAAGGTACACTTACGGCTACTTTTCGACATAATCGCCATAGAGATTCAGACATTTGTCGTATCTGTGGACAAGCTTTTGTATGCCCTCCTCATAGAAGGTTGCCGCCACCGCATTTAGGTAGTCCTTGACGTTGGTTTGGAGCTCCGCATTTTTTTGAAAACGCTTCCCACCAAGCCACGTCTTCAGATTAGGTAAAAGGTGAAAGTCGCTGGGTGCAAGGTCAGGACTGTATGGTGGATGATCGAAAATGTACCATCCAAATTGTTGTTCAAAGGTTTATTGCGGACATTTTCCATCACGAATGTAAAAAACAATACACAACCTGAGATGTTTTTTCACCTGATGTTTTTTTCACCTGAGGACGGGATCAGATTCCAGATCCCGAAATGTTGTGTATTGTTTTTTACATTCGTGATGGAAAATGTCCGCAATAAACCTTTGAACAACATTAACTCACCATCACCAACAATGAACTTCAAACAAAGCATCCAAATTGGTCGAGAAGCTGTTGAGTTGCTCCAGCAGTGTGTGGACGGGCATTGTCATGGATCAAAACAACTCCAGAAGTCAGCATTCCTCTTCGTTTGTTCTGAATGGCTCTACGCAAACGTCGTAAAGTTTCACAATAAACAGCTGCAGTGATTGTGGTTCCAGGTTCCATGAATTTCACAAGCAACACACCTTTTTGGTCCCAAAACACAGTAGCCATGGCCTTTCTGTTGTTAAAGGTTTGAATTTCTTTGGTTTGTTTGGTGAATTTGAATGCATCCATTGTTGTGATTGTCGTTTTGTTTCCGGTGTGTCGTACTGAATCCCCAGTCACGATCGATTTCAAAAAGTCGCCTCCGTCATCATGGTAACGCTCGAGGAACTCCAAAGCTGACGCCGTTCGTCGAGTTTTGTGGCCATCCGTCAACATTTTTGGGACATAACGTGCACAAAGTTTTCTGTAGCCTAACCGTTCAGTAACAATAGAGTACAAAATAGACCTTGAAACATGGGAAATTCCAAAGACAAAGCAGTAATGGTGAATCTGCGGTTTCCTTTCACCATTCTGTCAACACGTTGAACCAGGTCATCTGAAATGACAGATTAGCGTCCTTGTCCCCCTTCATCGTGCACATCATTACGACCGTCTTTAAACTTTCGACACCATTCACGCACAACACCATCACTCATAAAGTTTTCCCATACACACGACTCATTCTCCGATGGGTTTCTGCAGCACTATGGCCTTCAGCCTGTAGAAAACGAATAACACTTCGCAATTCACACCTGGCAGGAGCATCAATGGTGGCAGCCATGTTTATGTGGCTGTAGCACAACGCCAACTGACGCGCGAATGTCAACAATGGCGACAGGTGTAGTGGAAGAGTTGCGCAATCGCCTTCGGCGCATGCCCGCCTTCTGCCTCCCGCGTAGCGTCTGCACGGAGCGATCGGAGGTTGAAAAATAAACAACCCTCATTTAATTTTAATATTTCCCTTGGGTTACGCCCCATGGGCTTGTTTTTATTAGCTCGCTTTCCTACAAATTTTGATATCAATTCTAAACGAAGTTCCTGATGAGCTAAAGACTTGAAATTTGAAACATAGCTCACAAATGGATGACAATGCAATATTATATCATTTAATTTTCATATTTCCCTTGGGCTACGCCCCATGGGCTTCAAAATTTTCCATGTTTACGTTTTGAAAGAATGTAAATATATCATTCAATTTAAGTCAGCTGTAAATACTTAAATTTGACAGTTCGAAGAGCAGAGGTTAAAATGTACAGGTTATGCTCCCAAGAGATTCTTTATACAAACAAACATTTCAAAATAAAGATAACAATCCAATTGCAGATATAAAGGTGTTTGTTAATAATGTCAATTATTATTTATTTAGTATTCTATAAAGTAAACAATAAATTAAATAGATCGATATATTTATAGTTTGTAGGTAGGCCATATCAATCTAATACATAATTATATGAAAAGAAACTCAAATAAACCTTAGATTTCCCATATGCCTCTGCCTTAATCTGATATAGATGCTTGAAATAGATTTAACATCCACACACATTAAAAAGTAAAAAGTAGAAAATAATTTATAAATAAAAAACTTTTTTAAAACAAAACGTTTTTAAACGCACTAAAAAGTAGATAGTAATTTATAAATATGTGGATAGTATAAATACTTGTAAGATTTAAAACAAAAAACGTGAGGTGCGTGCATGCAATTGATAATAATACATTAGTTCAATAGGTGAAGGTAATTGTAAATTATCTATTCCATGCACCCCAAGTTTTTGTTTTAAATCTTACAAGTATTTATACTCTCCACATATTTATAAATTATAAAGCTACGCGCGCACTACGGCGGAACGGCACGGACGGGCGGTATGGCACGGACGGCATTTTTAAGAGGGGGTGCGCGCACTAGGGCGGCACGGCACGGACGGACGGGACGCGACATCCGCACTTCCGCAATTTAGGACAGTTGACAGTCTGCGAGCTAAAAATTGTGAGTAAAGATGGATGAAGATAAAGTGGTGATAGTAGGTTTAATTTTAGCAGAGGAAGAGGTGACAAGAAGGTGCAAGCAAAGATTTTAGATACACCACATAAACAGGAAAAGACTAAGTTTTGGAGAGTTCCACACCTTGTTTCCTGATCTTGTAGAAGGATTATGTGTAAAACTTACCTGATTGTTTCATAATAGATCATATTTCTGTCCATATATTGTCACGCCGGACGTTATTAAAATATTCCGGATGTCGCATGTTGTACAGTTTGTTGGTTTTCTCAACGAGAAAAATCAACTTACTAACATTTATGTTTACAACACACGAAAACACTGCTACTTTGACAGAGATCAGTTGAGAATGGCGGATGTCCCGTGCCGCCCGCCCGGTCGGTGTGCAGTGCTCCCGGTCGGTACGGGCGGTACGGGCGTCACGGCAGCTCGGAAATGTCCTGGAGTTCTGTCTCCCGGACTTTTTAACAAACGGCGGAAGCTGCCGAACGTCCGTTGCCGGCCGTACCGCCGTAGTGGGCGCACTCATATGACATTCAATGTTATTAACTTTTAAAAATTGCCGTGCCGCCCGCCCATCCGTGCCGTGCCGCCGTAGTGCGCGCGCAGCTTAAGATTATCTACTTTTTGTTTTTAGTGTGTTTATTATAGTTGAAATCATCTTCTGAATTTTGAAATGTTTCATTGTGTGTGTAAATGTACTAAGACCATGATTCAAATTTTCATTAAACCTGTTTTCTATTTAGATTTAGCAAAATATTTCAAAATTAACATTTTTCTCTGCCTTATTTCAGGAATATATCCCTAACCAGAACTATATGATGAGCACATACGAACATCCAATGATGAGGGAAATCGAACCGTCTAGGTATTTATTTATTTAATTGGAGATATATTTTATTTTGAATGATTTAATCCAAGTCTCTCTTTTTTGTAAGTTGATATTGAAACAGTGGATTCTTTCTAACGCATTGTGACGCAAAATTCTAGGGGGGGAATAAACTAGTATTCACCTAAGTCAGGCTACGCCTACCCTAGAACCGGCCACACTCAAATTTCTTCCCCGGAGTTCTCAGAAGGAGCTGAGAAAAATCCAGGGGTCGATACGAAGTTGTCACGGCTTTGACTGATCAATTTATTTAAATTTAATCGAAGGCTCAGAGCTCTAGAAGCGCTCAGGAAATCCTGCAGACGCCCAGTTGGAGCTATATCATCCCAGCCTTTGTAAAAGTGTTTTGGAGAATTTTGCCTAACTTTTAGAATGACTCTGTAGGGCCAACGAGTATTCAATCTTAGCCAATGTGATGTAAATACTCGTATTAAAATGAGACTAATTAGTTTAAGACGTTGGTAATCGATCTAATATCGAATATAAGGTAAAATAATTCCTACAGAGTCGTCGGGGCCTAATTAATATAAATGAACGGATAATTTATCGTGATAGGTTTAAAATAAATTTAATATTAATTTTCGTAGCTGATTATTCAACTCAGCCTGCTCCCAAGACTTGATTCTTTCACCCGCCAAAGACGGGGTTTAGAACTCACACGACAAGTCTCGGGGTATTAAAACGGTGAAAACGAGATATAAAATCTGAACGGCGAAACAAATAAACTATAGATTTAATAACGAATAAAAATTAAACGAATGCAACACTTACGGCCACCGCTAGTCACTGGCAAGCAGGAACTGGCGGGTCAAAACTCAACCGGCGAAAACTAAGTTATTAAAATTTAGAAAATTAAAATCGAACTTGAACGGGTAAAAATAAGTAGAAGACAAGTATGCGTATGTTAAAAGAAAATTTAGATGAACATAAGAAAGTCTAAAAACTTAGCTAACCTGAATCAATAACGGGCTTCACGTGAACGAGTCGACGGTCGAACAGCGAATAATTCTTGTCCGGCTCAAATCCTGATTTCCTCGGCCGCGGCTTAAGCGCTGCGGTGGCGATTTTGGAAACTAGCCAACAGATGATCGGGGATTCGGTCTAGTTATCGTCTGTCATCGTCAATCAACAAACACCAGTTTTAGGTTATGTCGTCGTCGTCGGTGATAAATATTCGTAAAATCGGTCGGTAAACTTTATTTGGTAAAGTGGAGTGCTAATATGAATAAATATGTAGTTGTGGGTGTGTTTGTGTACTTCACTGTTGTTAAAAGTAGGCCTACGTTCTTTGGCCCATAGCCCAAGCTATGGCCATCACATAGGCCTAGGAGTAGGTTGTTGTAGATAAAAATCGGGTAAGTTATGGTGTTTGTTGACTAGCAATACGTTTTTACCCCCCTTAAAATTTGGTACCTCACAGCATTCACTGTCATAAAAATGGTAATACAGTAGACCCCCTCTTAACCGACCTCGTATTAACCGATAATCGGATTATCCGCCTTCGATCGTAAAATAATACAGTTTGTTTTAACCGACCTTGCTTTGAGAGCAGTTTGGTTTAACCGCCGCTTTCTAGGAATCTCGGCATTTCCGCTCCCATGCTGGGCGATGAGAACTGAACCATACGCTTATCTCCACAGGATATGACTATGAATAAGTTATTTTGTATTGATCACAAAAATATAGCAAATTGTTAGTTTGTCATCATTATTTGTAGCGCGAGCACATCTGATCTGATTTGTTATCTGTGCGGCAAATTTATAACATCGTAAAGTGCGTTACGATTTTGAGAACTGATTATCTTATCGCTGGAGTAAACAAACAACACAACTTGTAGGGAGGGCAGGGAAGGAGGGTTAACAACTCCAAGGTCAAGATAGTTTTTGTGCCTCGAGTCTCCAGTGAGGGGCTATTTAAATAAACATCCTGTCTTAACAAAATGGTTGCTTGTATTTTTAATTTCGACAAAAGGTTCTGTACTGTATTACGGTGGATTTGGAAAGCATCAATTAATACATTACAGTACTAAAGTTATTAAATTAGGAATTTTTATTGAGTCTTGCATAGAACTATAATATATTCCACTGAAAGTAGGCTTATTTAACTTAACTGTTTTGTGTTTATTTGTGACTTTTCTATCAACATGAAAAAGGTGATAAGAGTAGTTTATTTTATAAATACAGTAATGAAAGTATGACTTCAAAATAATAATTATATATATCCCAATGAATAGCACTTCATTATGTTATGATTTTAGGGATTGCCTGTTTTAACCGACCTTTTGAGTTAACCGACCTAGGTCCGGTCCCATTAGGGTCGGTTAAGAGGGGGTCTACTGTATGTGTGAAATATAATTATTTTGCAGTATTAATGGGTTGGTTGTTAACTTCAGTTGTAGTTTTTTTTTTTCAACAAAGAAACCGAGATTTGTCATGAAAAGTCAATTTAGTTAGGAGCACATGTAGCGTCAGCTGATGTTACGTTGTCATAGCAACGCATTATGGTTATTCTAGTTATTGTTTTTCTAAAGAAAAGGTACACAAATTGTAACTCTTCAATAAATGATTTTTATCCCATTCTTAATTGGTTGTAAGTTTATTTGAATATCAAACAACCACGACCAAAATGGTGACCCCGACTAAAACCATTATCTAAAGACTGTTATTTTCTTTGAAGAGTTTAACTTTTAATTAAGCAGCTACATTAAAGTGCTGCTTTTAAAAATTGGTTCTAACCCTTATTTGGCCAAGGTTAATTGCAGTTCCTTTTGTACGTGGTCTCGCAATTGGACACAAGAAATGCGAAATGCTGCTGAAGTCGAAGACATCATAACGAACCCTCCTCTAGGCGACAAATACGGACATCTAAAAAAGAAACTGATTGAACGCCTTTCTGCATCCAAAGAGCAACGTGTGCGGCGGCTGCTGAGTGAAGAGGACCTTGGAGACCGCAAGCCTTCCCAGTTTTTGAGTCATCATAGGTCTCTTGCGGGCTCGACTCCTCTTCAAGACAACATGCTACGTCAACTGTGGCTCAGACGACTCCCTCCTCACAAGCCATATTGACTACGCAACTTGAGCTCTCCTTGGACAAACTGGCCAAACTGGCTGATAAGATCATGGAGGTGGCTGATGTTCAGTTCTTTTATCTAAAATTTTTCTTTAGCCTGTTTAGAATTTTTAAATTACAAAAAAACAGCTGATGATTTAAAGATAATCCATTGTATTATATAAATAAACATTATTCCTTTCTGTTCTTCTTGAAAACATGACTTTTATTTTTTCTCTCTTAATTTTTCATTAATTTACTCAAACACTCCACAGCTGATATTCCTTAAACACCTGGTATTTGTGAAGTCTCTTCAGGTAACGCTTCTTTCTTTAAACGAAATAGAAACCCTCTCTAAACAAGTTCAAGCATTATCAGAAACCAGAGTACGAGATTATTAGTGAGGTTATGAGGTTATTAGTGAGTCGGTGGCTCAGTCGGTAGCGTCGCGGACTTCGGGCCCAAGGCAGCGATGTCGTGGGTTTGAATCCTGGTCACTGCCGATAAAATTTTATCAGTACAGTTCACCTTTGTACCGTACCGGCTCACTGGGCGCTTAGTCTATGTGGACGGGCAAAAAAAAAAGAAAAAAAAAGATACACAGGCGTTCCCAGTTTTGTGGTAGATCAGGAAACGAGCCTAATCCAGGGTTGTCAGCGGCCGGGAATTCCGGGAAAATTGGAATTATGCGTGAATTTTAACAGCCGTGAAAAACCGGGAAATATGCGTGAAAATCGTATTATTCCGTGAATTTTATTGATAACGTTATTACAGTTTTTTTCAAGTAATTTTAATAGTTATAAACCGTTTTGCAATACTTTCTTGATTGATTTTATAGTAAACCAAAATTTACGGTTTACTGGCGAGTGGCGATGGTTCGGAAGAAGTAGAAGGTAAGTTGGATGTACACTACCTACCACCATGAATAGGCCTACGCGGGAAGCCGACGGAAGCAGACTACATTGTGCTGAACTGCAACTGACTTCCATCCAACTTAGTGTTAAGATTTATTTGATTCTGATATTATCTGGTGATACAGTACCTATTTTCAGCGATTATAGCCAAAAAGCCTTTAAAATAAATGTGTAGTAGTAGGCCTACAAGTTATTTTTCCAACCCATTCCAAAAACTACAAATCTTCCTAACATTGAACGGCAATCCAGCCGGTGCTCAGGAAGCCTGAAAACGTCTTAAAGCCGTTTTTATTCTTATTCAATTATTATAATTATATCTCACACAAGACTAACAAATTTAAAAAAACAAGGTCAGGAGTTGAGTCATAGTTATATACTGTAGGAATGTGGAGAGGCTAGGCATGTTGGTATGGATTAGGCATTCCCTGGAATGTAAGTCGTGTAAGGGGAGATGGACTGTCTTAACTTCTGGCATGTTTAATGCATATCAATATAAACAAGGGGAGAGTGATGTCATAGCTATGTACTGTAACTTCTGGTATGTGTTTTTGCATATCAATATAAACAAGGGCAGAATGATGTCATAACTATGTACTGTAACTTCTGGTATGTGTCTTTGATATCAATGTAAACAAAGGCAGAATTTTATCATCATAGCTATGTAGGCCTACTGTAGGAATGTCGAGAGGACAGCTGGTATTGGCATGGCATTGCAAATAATTTGCAAGAAAACTGATGAACATATTACGTTTCTTTGTAATGACGCATACCAAACAAGAAAACAAAGTCTGTATCGTATGTAAATACTGTCTCTAGTAGGCCTAATGTAACTAATGTTGTTTATCAAAATATATTATTGTCATTTGTTTGTTCATATCTAAGTTTTATTTTTGTTATAACTAAACCGACATAAATTTATTTTGTTTTGCAAACTTACATGTATAAGTTTATTCTGCAAAATGTTTAACTATGTTAATTTTCAACCTCAATTTTCAATGTGTGCCGAGTGAATTTTAAGAGTTAATGGATTTTAAGAACTACCTAATAAACGTATATGTTTAACGTATGTGTTGTCTTTATTATTTACCAAAATCTGTAATTATAATTGAATTTGTTTTTACATACATCATTCGGACATGGGTAAATTTAAGACAATCAACACAAGTTATTATTTGTCTCGTTAAACTCTGCCTTTTGAGATAGCTGTGCGCAATGTGAGGTTAGGACCTACCTTTACCATTGACTTCGAATAGCATCAAGTTTATATTTTTATCTTATCTTATTGGTTTTTTTTTTAGGTTATAATAATTTGAAAATAGTTTGTAACATTTTAACGTATTTGTGCACAAACTTTTATTAAAGTAACTCTACCGTGTTTCGGCTTAACCGCGCAGCTGTTGTGTACTACTGTCTACTAGCCGTTCGCAAAATGTCCGGCATTTGTTTACTTCTTGTCAATTGACCTTGACATCGGCACAAACCTCAGCAACTTCTTTTCATAATCCATCATTGATTGGCACGCGTTTCGATCGATGTGCAGCTTGTTTCGAATTGAATGCTCTGTAATACAACTTTATAGTAACCTTTTATAAGCATTATTAAACAATTATTACACACAAGTAAGAAGAGTGGCCTTTATTTGAGTTTGAAACTGATCAAATGACTACTGTCGGGGAAATAAATATGTGCACTCAAGTTTGAGCCTAAATATCTCTGAGATTAATTATCTGATTTTGTTGAATCAAAAATTAAATATAAGCTGGTTTAAATACACTTTACGTGGTAACAATTAAAAAAATTTCCGTTAACCAGAAAAAGTTATATAGTTGAAAAATCCTAAAATGTACCGGTTTTTGAATCTCTGCACTAACACTGAAGTTTAAAATTTAATTGTAAACAAACCACTGAGCCAATCTTTCTGAAATTTTTATGGCTTATTGGTAGGTTTATTGTTAACATTTCCATGCATTTTAAATTTTTTACTCACAATAGTTTTTATGCTGCTGTTAATTTTTAAAACGTATGCTAACATCGTTAATAAGACTCTAACAATTTCGTTCAAAATACCATCGTGTTTGTCGTGACACAAGAAATAACACCAATGTTTAGTTGTTGCCACGTAAAATGTATTTAAACCAGCTTATATTTAATTTTTGTTTCAACAAAATCGGATAATTCGTCTCAGAGATATTTAGGCTCAATCTCGAGTGCACTAATTTATTTCCCCGACAGTAGTCTACTGTACTAGCTTGATCAATTAATGTTTAAGGTAATAGAGTTTATAACCTCTGATAATTCTGAACAAATTATTAGCCAAATATAGTATTATGAGTGGATGTTATCAAAATGGCACCCATAATGACCCACCGCGCTACCCCTTACCCGCCCGACCATCAGTGCGTCACTAATTAATTATGTGTCACGAAGTGTTCACCGTTTCATCGGTCGGGGCTTACGTAGTCCCTTGGGCAATTTGGCTTGCTTTTTTTTAATTTACTGATAAGTGTAACTTGTGTCGTGCCGTTCTTATAAGTATAATAGACGCCAGGAATTCCGTACTTTTTAGCCGGGAAAAATGCGTGAATTTCGTTTATAGATCCTGCTGACAACCCTGCTAATCCCTCTAAGAACTGGTGCTGGTACCATAGAAAATTCAAAAACAATGCTACCAATTGTCTTTCTCCATGCTCTTTTCAGGGAAACCTCAGCAACAATCCGTAGAGGCCGCAACGGATTGTTCAAATGCTGGCGGCCGTCTCTTTGTGATGGACAGAAATTCACGAACTAGGTTCCTTATCGACACCGGGTCTGATGTGTCGTGTTTTCCTGAGCGCCTTATCCTACTAATATTATAAATGAGAAAGTTTGGATGTATGGATGGATGTATGGATGTATGTTTGTGACAAGTGAACGCGAAAAATACTGGTCGGATTGGGCTGAAATTTGGCATGATGATAGCTCACATTCCCGATTAACATATAGGCATATTCTTATTTCAAAAATCCTTTCGGGCTCAGCCCCAGTGGCTCTGGAGTTTCCCATGTTAACCTTATGAGAAATGGAATTATTGAATCTTAACAGCTGTTTCAATTAACAAGTTGGTTCTGTTCTATGATGTTCAATAGCATTAAAGTTACAAGGATTACCAACAGGGTGCAGCACTATTATTTCTTTTACATTTATGACAACAGCTAATTTGCAACCAAAAGGTGAGTGAGCGTAGCGAACGAAGTTCAACCTGGAGGCGAGTTAGCGTAGCGAACGAGCTAACCTGAAGGCAAGTGAGCGCAGCGAACGAGCTCCAACCCAAAGGTGAGTGAGCGTAGCGAACGAGCTCCAACCTAAAGGTGAGTGAGCGTAGCGAACAAACTTCAACCAGGACGTGATTGAGCCATGCGAACGAGATAATCTTGAAAATTAAGAAGTTAAACGGGGCAAAGCCCGCGGGTTACAGCTAGTCAAATATAAACGTTTTCCTACTAGCTATTCACTAAGTGCTGCCAACAACAGGGAAATAAAGACTTATGGTACCATGCCTCTCACCCTTAATTTAGGCCATAGACGTAAATTCCCTTGGAGTCCACTGGTAGCGGATGTTTTAATACCTATATTAGGTTTAGACTTCCTTTCACACTACTTATTACCCGATTGCAAGATGAAATGTTTGGTTGACAAGAAAACGGGATTGAATGCCGAGGGAATAGTTTCTAACAACAATCAAACTAGTATTAAAGTTCTATCTTTCTCCTCGCCATTGGCAGAAGTTTTTGCTGAATTCCCTGATATTATTCGTCCTCCAGGCTTACCTCGTGCTGTAAAACATAAAACAGTTCATCATATAAATGTGACATCTGGTCATCCTGTTCACTGTCGACCACGTTGTTTAGGCTACATCTTCAAAAATTGAAAGATATCCAAAAAGAATTTGAGGAGATGGTTAAGCTTGGTATTGCTCGACCCTCTGAAAGCCCCTGGTCCTCGCCTTTGCACATGGTCCCTAAAGGAGAAAATGGATGGCGTCCTTGCGGTGATTACCGCACTTTAAAAGCTCGTACTGTTCCTGACAGATACCGTGTACCACATATTCAGGATTTCTCGTTCAATTTAGCAGGCTGTATACATTTCTCTGCCATTGATTTGACCAAGGCTTACCACCAAATTCCCGTCCACGAAGTTGACATCCAAAAAACAGCAATCACCACTCCATTTGGGTTATTTGAATTTCCATTCATGATCCATCTAAATGTGTAATTGGTGTACCAGAAGTTAAATTTCTAGGTTATTTAGTCTCATCTTCTGGAACACGTCCACCTCAGGAGAGAGTCACTACTCTACAAGACTATCAGTTACCTCAGACGATGCGTGGTCTTCGCAAAATCTTGGGAATTATGAACTTTTGTCGTAGGTTTCTGCCTAAGGCCGCTGAATTTCAAGCACCTCTGCACTCCTTACTTAGTGACGCTGATTCAAAAGGTTCCCTCCCTGTGTCATGGACTCCAGAGACAGAAGAAGCCAAGCATGCAAGGCTAGCTTATCAACAGCAACACTATTGTTTCATCCTAAACCTGATGCTCCTCTTGGTCTCTTCTCTTCATTTAAGCCTCTGGAGTAAGTGTAGGTGCCTGCCTCCAACAGTTTGTCGATGACGCTTGGCAACCTCTAGGGTTTTTCTCCAAGAAACTATCACCCAAACAGTGCATCTGGCCTGCATACTACAGAGAACTCCTTGCTATTTATGAAGCTGTTCAGCATTTCCGTCCTGAAAAGCTTACAAATCATGACTTATCAGCTTGTGCCATCTATCCACAGACTTGTTGTATCGATTGTTGTGTTGGCAACGACTTGGGGTATATAATTGCCCAAGAAGGATAAAATTTTTTTTGCACTTTTGTTTTACAAAAAAATACCTAATTTACCTAAGAGTGTCATATTAAGGAAAATTTCAGAATGCATTGTCAAAAACTGCCTGATATTTGTAGAAAATGAAAAAGAGCAATAAACGCCTGAAGCGCATGAACAACTGCTTCTGGCAATGTTTTGAGATGGTTGAATGTAGAACACTTGCTTGAAAACAATGCTTTCATAATTGTGTTAAATGTACAAAATTTAAGAAAACAAGCCTCATAAAGTATGGTAACAACTATTTGTGCAATTCTCTCAAAGCAGGCAACTCTAAAGTAAAAAGCTCTTAAATTAAAAACCAATCATCCAGGGTTTTTTTTTATTTTGGTTGTACCCATTGATTACCCAATGGTTTTATTTTATCGTTGTTACTTTCCAGGAATTCACAACGCACAGAACCTCGTCGGATGAGTCTGGAGATGAGAGCTCGTCTAGATACACCACCTCGTCTGCAGCGTCCCCCCTCCCCGTCACCTCCACCACAAGCCCTGGGATACCGCATTGTTGTATCTAACCTGCATTCAAGCGTTACTCATGAGGACATCAAGGTTTTATTTTACACTCAATAAGTGCCTATATTTATCTGAATTGAATATCTTGAATAATGTGTCAGTTGCAATTTTTATCAGGTCAGATTTAGTTTGATTTTTATTTTATTGGTTTTTGGTTTCTCGATCATTTGTGGTTTGGAGTACATAAAATTACCACTCACTTATATCTGAGCTTAATCTACACCAATATCCATTTTCTTCGTTTACGCTTTATGATTGCTGATGGTAGGTTTACATTGTTACAGGGATTATTGCAGGTCAAATTTGGAGTTTCAATAAATACTGATGGAAATTTCTACAAAACTTCTTTAAACAACAATAATAAAGTTATTATATATTGCTAAACAATAAAATAGACCTATGTGAGGTTTTTGTATGATGGCTGGTTGCCAGTAGAATATCAGCGTTAGATTTAGACATAGATTTTGTGTTGTAATGAGTATTCATCATAATGTCTTCATGACTATTGTATGTAAATTTTAGTATTTAGGAGGAAAAAAGAACTATTCACTTTATATTAAATATGTAGACAATTAACAATACAGAACATTTATTTTATCTCATAACTAGGTAATGCCAAACGCCCAAAGCCACAGAACCCAAGTCCACTTTATCTTCAGACCATGTAACATCATCGTTTTTATTCATGTCTATTGTCTACCTTATCGCATTCGCTTATCGTTCGCCACAGAGAGGCAGTGTTGGGAAGTAGCACGCTACAAGTAGCGACGCTACAGTAGCGCGCTACTTTTTTTGTAGCGTTAGCTGTAGCTACGCTACTTTTAAGATTTTGTAGCATTAGCTACATTTTTAAAGTAGTTGTAGCGGAATTTTAGCTACTTTTCTCGCTACATTAACATTGTTTGAGATAGTGATTTTTATCATAACCTCAACCTTACGTAAAACAATCTCTTTCAATATCAAACTGAGATTTTCAAAAAAATTAGGCCTACTTTCTTGGCTTCATACAGCTGGTTGCAGCCGTTTCATTCCCTATTACAACATTGTGTGGACATGGAAGCCATTAAATGAGTGTTATCCGAATTTTTGGCTCTCATTTCCAATTTACTACTCTATGATTACTGTCAGATAAAATAAAATTGCTAGATGCAGACGATGTTTAAACATTACCAGTGACAAGAGAAGCTATTGAATGCTTGCCAGTGGTTGGCAGGGAAATTAGTAATCAATTTAGTTTCTTTATTATAGATAGTGTTTCAACTTGGGTTTTAATGGACACCAACACTAAGCCTTAAAATAATGAGAAAGCTGGTATATCAACCTTTGATTCAGCTGTTGATTGTGGTTCATCATCACAAGCCCTTCCTTGGTTAGATTACGAATATTTTTCAAATGTTTACTAAATTAACAAAGAGGAAATTACCTGATGAGATTTAAGATATGCCTAGACTACATGATAATTGTAACGAAAAAATCTCCATATAACATGAAACTTACATTGAAAAAATAGCATAGTTTGCTCCTGCTAGAACAGCTCTTGTATCTAGGACTATTCCTAGGCTATGCTATGGTTTAAGACGAATACAAAGTTCCAAGTTCAATTATTAGGAATATATCTTTTTAGTCCTTGCAAGAACAAGCCTACTGTAGCCAACTTGTTACATAGCCAAGTAGGCCTACATGTTATTTTTACTTTACAATTTTCAACATGTATAAATTAAAAGCCGATTTCAGGATAAGTTGCTGAATACTGTTTTCTGCACCAACTAAGTTGAAGCACAATTTGCCCTATGCATAATGACAATAAAAGACGATTTCTTGACATAGAAAAGTGTTATTCATAGAACAAGTAACTTATCACTATGGTTAAAAGTTATAGCAATGTCGTTTTTAACATTAAAAATAAAGAAAGGCAAAAAACTCCAATTTCAGTAGGCTAGGCTCTGTAACACAAAAAAGTATTTTAAATAATCGTTTTACAGTTTTATTGGTCTTAGTTGTTGATATAAGACATATATAAATGAATCTATATTAAAGAAATACAATGAGCTTTTAAAATATAGTTTGGTTGTATGTCCTTTGAACTTAATGAAATTTACATATAAGATGCTTAAAAATAATGCAATATTTAAAAATAAGTACTAAATATGAAGGGGCACCCAACTATTTGGTTCTGTTTTTGTAATGTTAAGTTTATAATGCCAATACAATCTTGGAATAATTTGTTTTCCAAGTAATGTTAGATGCAATACTGACATTTTTTGTTTAAATGTTTGTTCGATAAAAATGTAGTTGCAATTAATTTTACATTTACCTAATGTGTGTGGAAAAAAAGTAACGTCTTTGGAAAAGTAGCTAAAATTGTAGCTGTAGCTACATTTCATTGTAGCTGTAGTTGTAGCTAGCTACATTTTCGGAACTGTAGCTGTAGCTGTAGCTAAGCTACTTTTTTGGAAATGTAGCAGTAGTTGTAGCTAGCTACATTTTAAAAGTAGCTTTCCCAACAGACAGGATACCTGGTCATTCTCTCTCTGTCCACAGCCCTCTGAATATGGTGTAGTACTAGCCACACCTCTTTCAATCTCATTGCCAATAATTGAATTAAGTTGTTTAGTTTTCATTTTGATTAGACCAATGTTTAAAATATTAAAATTTCATTCAAAGTTTCTAACAAAAAAATAAATTTTCCCATAACAAAGGTCACCATGGATATTGTTTTTAACCTAAAACCAAGATATTTCCAACAATTTAGAGGAAATCATAGGAGCCGTTTTTGAAATCATTGTGCGAAAACGTTACTTGTATTGTAGTATAGATATGAAAATAAGATAAAGTACATCTATCATCTCTTAAGGTAAAAAAAATTGTATATTTAGGAATTGTTTGAAGACATCGGTCCACTACTTACTTCACGTCTGGTTCGGGCCGGCACAGCTGAGGTGATATACAAGTACCAGAAAGATGCCAAGAAAGCGGTTGAAGCTTATCACAACAGACAGCTGGATGGGCAGCCAATGAAGTGCTTATTGGTCAACACTCGCCCCTCCTCGTCACCTTCTTCTAGGTTTGTATAGGCATAATACAGTAATATTACGCCTTAATGTGGGTTTTGGAACAAGATAACCGCAAAAACGTGCTGCTAAGAAACAATAACAAAATTAGGTTCTAAAACCAACAATTGTAACTCTTAAAGAAATAATCAAATAATATTAGACTTTAATCTGTTCCATTGTTAGTGTAGTATCTTAATAAGAAGCTATTGAAATTTAAAAAAAATTATATCACTAGATCAATGATGTGTCAATACCAAAATTTATCGATTATTGATACCAATACTGATACCTGAAAAATCTATTCTCGTTACCAATACAATTTTTTTTTAGATTTACCAAATTTTCTGAATAGATTGGTTATACTACACTAACCCCTGTCTGAGGTAAATAAGGTGTTTTTCAAGTAAAGAAAATATTTATGCAGCAATGAAACATTATAACTAGCCAATTTATTTGTAAACCCATCTAAAAACATTAAATAACCACCAAATTAAAGGTAAATGAACATTTAACAACAAAAATCAAAAAGAAAAGCACTACGGTTAATTTAGTGCCAACAGGGGATGAACCTGTTGGCAATATGGTCAAAACGCTGATAAAAAAATAGATTCTCAACTGTGATGACCTGTAGCATAGATAAAACATACTCCCTTAGTAGATTTCTCATCCTTATGGAACAGCTGAAGCCAATTTTATTGTTAGTTCTGTACGGTTTATGTAGAGGTCGTTTTTTGTTTACAATTTGTTTCCCGTTATTACAGCCATTTAAAACCTCGTTTAACCAAATAATACGATCTAATCATAAACAATAACTTGTCCCCTAGTTATATAACCAAACAGTAAAGCACAAATCAAGAAATTAACCCTAAAATAATAGAAACAAAGTTTCGTCGACACTAACGCCCATGTGTCACGTACATGAACTAGACACGAAAAACGTGCTTCAAAATTTACAATGGGATGAGAAGTCTCCTTGTGTTGGCTAGTCTATGCCTGTAGGCGGTAATTATTTAAAAATGTAAATTTCCAGATCACATACAAAACTGGTTCACAGACTTTTTACTGGTATTTTTTTCCTTTTTTTTTACACAACGTATACCGTAATTAAACTAACATTCAATGATCTTTGACACTCATTTGAGCATATAAACACGAGTGAAGCAGCTGGCAAGATCATGAAACATACTATATAAATAATGCTGAAATACAGATAAATACCCCCACTCCACTTGTCTGATTACATTTTTACTCAAATTAACCATAAATAAGACATATTTATTCCCAATTTAAATAGCATTATATTTTACGAGTGCTTAGGTTTGCTGCTACGGGGAAGGTAACAAGTGTTTTTTGACCAAACGTCAAATAGTATAGTACGAAATAAATAAATTTGCCAAATTTTATCAACATATATCCATAAACAAGTAAACTACAATAGTTTTCATTTTCTCCATAAGAATATCATGGGAATTTTAAATTTATACTTTTTTGAATTTTCCCTTTAACCATTAGGCATACAACAATGCTTCAATATACTAAATTATTTCTTTTTTTAAGCTCTACAAAATGGTTGGGAAAGATATTCCAAAATTTTATGTTTTTAGGGTCAAAAATGGGGAAAACCCATTTTACCACCTATAAATCCCCGTTCCCATGGTCAGATTATGCTGGTTTGCGAACTCGTTCGAATAAATGTAGGTTTACACGTTTATACCAAATTTCATCAAAATCGGATATTTTTGTTTTAGTTATCGTGCTAACGGACACACACATTTACATTTGAACGGATGGTGTTTTTGGCCTCTAGGGACCTCAAAAGGAAAAAGTAAATTGGTCCCGGGACCAGGTCTTACCATGAGTAATAGCTTATTCCCTCTATGGGAAATTCAATAAAAACGGATTAAGGATTTTTGACTTATATGCTAGTAAAGGTAGAGTTCCAAGCCAACCATTGGGGTCGGGTTAAAAACATGTTTTTCTCTGTTTAGATTTTTTATTTTGCTGTCACAAATTTTACAAAATCAAACTGATTATAGTTTTTTTTTAGTCCTGAATTACTTGAGTAACTGTTATTGTTAATTGTGATTCTAAATTTTCTATGAAAGTTTTGGATTACATAAAATAAATTTAAGTATTAATTCATAAGTTAAATACACAAACATGGCCAAGTTTTAACAACTTTTGGCAAGTTATCACAAATATTAAAACAAGGGATAATATTTTGAAAAGGCCTACCTACTAAAATTTTAATGAAATATTTGTTTAATATTTAAAATTGGTAATTTTTTATATAATATTACTACTTGCTCATTGTAAATTATATTTGCAAGTGAACACTTTTTGTTTTTACATTAAGCAGTTTAGGAAATTTCACTTACTTTAGTTCTTCAAAATATTATGACTGCATTTTGTGTTTCCAGTGGTCTTATGAGATCTAGCAACATGCCAGCTGCATCAAAGTTCCCTCACAGTAGCAGATCTACCGTTGTCCCCGATCTGAATGCCATTCACAAGGCTTTGTTTACACACAAGTGATCGATCTCTTCAGCTGATCCTGTATCAGATTATAGACTATTTTGTATCATGTACAGTGTTAATTTTGTATTTTGGTAAGTTTATAAACACTTAACCTATACCTAAGTTAATCTACAGAGTCTTGCAAAAGAAAGTACGTTCAACAATTCAAAATAAAAGCTGTGTTGGATCATTAACTAGTTATAATGTTTTCTTAGTGTCCTTCTTCATACACTGCAATGTATGCAGTCGGATCGATTGTTCACTATATTAACCCTTTTATAAGATGGGTTTTTTTTACCAACAAGAGTTTATTGTTGTCTATTAAATATTTATTGTATTCCATCCAAAAAGACTGCAGCACAACTTTGAACGAATAGATAACAAAAGGTTAGGATAGTAGGTCCTTAAAATAACAATAAATAAGGTTGGTTCTTTGTGGATTATCTATCAATGTGAGAATTCCTTGATGCAGCCAACATTGTCTGGAAAAATTGTATTATCAACTCAATCAGTTATTACCAGCATTACAGAAAGTGGTGTCATCAGTAAATTCAATTTGAAATTTTAGACGTCCTTATTTTATATTTTTGACATCATGAGATGTGGAGTTGGATGGTCCCTGAACTGGATGAAATTTCTACCGGATTATGAGGGCTGGATGAAATAAAGCATAAAGGGATTATATAATTTAAATCCAGGACTGAACCCAGAGGTAAAACCCATTTCACTGTTTGTTCTTCATATTTTTCCATTTGTAATACATTTTTTTCAACCATTTTGTAAATGAGATTTGGTAAAACTTTAGGATGACCATAGAATTTAAATTACTGAAGGGTTTTGAAATATAAATTTGAATCTTACACCTTTCAGGTCACAAAGGGTAGTCGAGTTATTTTGCATAGTCTATTGATATATACAATGGACGATATAGGTCCTCCTTATTTCACAACCTGAGTAAATTCAAACTCCTCCATTGATACTCCACAGATATTAAGAACGTTTTCCTACATTAAAGACAACTATATATCCAAACTATCTCTCTCCCACTAATTTACATTTAATTTCAATTCACAAATAGAAATAAGGTTTGCTTCATCAACTGAATTGACAGCTTTTGCCAGGTCTTAAAATACAATAAGGGATTTATTCATTTTATGCTTATGTTTCCGTTCATGCATTATCACATTAAGGAGAGTAAGGGAATTAATTGCTGACCATATTAAATCGATCTGTTTTTATTTATTTTTAGATCAATTTATTTTTTTTTATAACTTTCACTCAACTCTTTCAATGGTGGAAATAATTTGAACCATTCCCAAGAGTCATTACCCTTTTTTTTACATTTTGGTTATCTTTATTGTGCACAACCCTGTATGAATGATTTTACAAGTTGAGGTAAAAAGATGATGATGGTTAATTTAATTACTATTTGGATTTTATTTGGTCAAATAATTTGTTTAATTTAAATCAGTAGTGCCAACCTCTTGTCTAGGAACCTCTGTTCTGGTAATTACAAACTATGCTATTTCAGAAATACCTGTGAAGTACATAAAAATCTAAGGCACTGGTTTTATAATCTGCTGTTAATAGTCTTACAATGTTTTTATCTAGAAATACCTTCTGTTTGTTAGTTTGTGTAACTTAGTTTTGTAGTTAATTTTAAAGAGGGGTAAACATTGAATAATAAAGTTGTACTCTCTTTAGTATGAGGGTTACTTTATTGCTAGTTAACTCCATGCATTAGAAACAACATGTCATCCAATAGAGACAGGGCCTCTAAATACATGTTGTTCTTTTGTGCTGCATAAACATACTCATCTAAGTTAGTTTGACTGGCTGTTTGTGTAACAGAGGCGTAACAAGCTAAGAAATGTTAAATTAACCTTATTAAACTATAGACAGTAACAATGGAAAAATGGTTCATGAAAGCTGGAAAAATCATTACTTTTTAGGTACTTAACATAAAAAAAACTTTTTATATGATTAACTACAGTTATAGCACTTCAGTATAATATGTAAATAATATTCGATCATATAATAGAAATAGGCTACATTGGTTTATAATTAATACCTATTTACAAAATATTGTGTTAATTTATGTGTGCAAATAAATATAGTCTGTAAATTGAGAAAAACTTAAAATTACAAATGTTTTCCCAAAATGTTCAAAATTGTATATAACGTATGCTGAGTAACCTACAATGCTCTGTAAAATATCAAGTGTTTTCATTAGTCAAGTTTGCGTTCACTTCTGGCCAGAGTGCTGAGCTATAATTAATATCTGGAGGTAGCACCTTTGAAGGGGATTTGTGCCATTGACAGCCATTTTGTAGTGTCCTCAGAGGTATGCCTAAGTGGAAAAAGTGAAACTCAACCCAACCAGATAGAAAATTGTTCAGTCTTATTGGTTTATTTGTGTAAGTTTTATTAACAAACAATTTATTTTACTTACGCTTAAACAAAAAAGGCTTTTAATTGATTAGTATAGAACTCAGATACTAGTCAGGGGATCAAAGCAAGGCCCCACCAGAAAAACAGGCCATGCTGCAGCACGGGCAGCGCAACACTACGTCACAGTGGTGGATAGCAAACAACTAGCTTATTTACCTAAAACATATGGGATATAGCAATGAATTTATCAATGAATCTATCCACTAGTGTGACGTCATGGATCCTGCAGCATGGCCTGTTTTTCTTGTGGGGCCTTGGTCAAAGCATCACTTTGCCTTCCTGCGATTTTCAAGTACTGTCAGTCACTGTTCATATCTGATCTAATAACTAATAATCATGTGTGGCAAATATTCTATTCAATTACAGCATACAGTAAGATTTCTATTGAGAGGTTTAACTAACCTTAATTCTTCTTGTGAAATGTGTTATTATTTTCAGTGCAAGTTACTCACTGTAGACCTATTTTTGACTCCAGCTCATTTATGATTTAAATTCTGCTAAGGTCAGCAGTGTGGTTTATTTTAACCCAACAACTTTTGTTAGCTCAATAAATTAACGATAGACCACATTGCACAAGTTAGTTATTAATACAACAGTCTAACTAACTTGGTTTCAATTACATGTTATGGATTAATTCTATATATTATAAATATACTCTTCAAAAAGTTTTGCCAGCATACATACACCAATAACATACATACATCCATAACCACAATTAATTATTATTCTATTTTTACTGTTTTACCAAAAACTAATTTAAGTCCAACTTGATAAGTATTTTCCTTAAATTGTTTTTCTAATAAATAGTTTAACACATCAACTAGCAAATATTGTTTCCCCTTTTTTAATTTTACTATAAAAAACAGGGTTTACCCATCGAAGTATATAACACAACTGGAACACCGGGTAGATAGGAGATGTGGGATAAAAAGCGCGCCTTTTCGTTTTCGGTAACCTTCCTCCACCACTATGGGGGACCCAACGCAGATATGTCAGCTCCTCAAGCGGTTGTTAATACGCTCCTGGCCGTGCATACAAAAGGTTGACTGCATTTAAAGTTATATATTCGGAATCTGCATTAACTGCAGAATCTGACAGTATAAATATAATCTTATTTAAATCGTAATTCGAATTTTAACAACTAAAAATGTTAAACAAATATCACACCTTGACATGAAAAAGTTACTAAGCGAGGATTTTTTTTATTTTTTGGTCAGAAGCAAACTTCAAGCGAGAAAATTGTAGCTAATGAGATGATCTTCAGCATATAATCAAGCAATTTCAAATAAAATTTTCTAGTCGTGTGTAATGGAGTAATTAGTAACGCAAAGAGGTCATTTATAAATTGCGCCGCGGGCCGTTCTCACTGGTTCCGCTGATTTTTACGTTTACGGTACTCCCAGAAACGCTTTGAGTACAACCAATAGTTATATTAAATTCATTTTTATTACAGGTAACACATAACTAAATACTGAATTATCACCTTCTAGGTAAACTATTTACATACAATGTTACCGTAAATTAAAATATAAAATGTAGACTATAGATACAGGGACAGGGACTGGTAATCCCCCTTTGTTTAAATGTAACAAGGGATCGTGTATTATCTGCTTTGTTTGGTAATTAATGAGAAATTTAAAATATTAAGGCTCAGATCAAATAATTGATAAGGTCATAAATACTAAACCTAGGAAGTATTTTTCAATAATAAAAATTGAATAATAAATTTACAAATCGAATTGTTAGTCGTGTTCCTTTGACAATATGAGTATTTGTATAATGTTGCAAACACACGATTAGTAAAAAGTGTTTTCAGTGTCATTGTTATTCTGTATATGTTTTAAAATTCATATCATCACACATAAGAGAAAAGGGTTTGGTTAATAATACTAAACAGTACTTTTAAGAATATGTTTTACTGCCCACAATCGTGCTTAAATATAGTGCAAAGGTTGCATTACATGTTGTGAAACAAAACCAATTTCTTCAATCTCTGCCTTACACCTAACTTATTTTTGTTACATTCATTCATAATGTCCCTACCATTGGAGAAACACACGGTTTTGTAAAACAGTGTCCCTAACAGTTTCATTCATGGGCGGCAGCCCGGTACCGGTATTGATATTTATCTTCTGCAAATAAATTAAATATATGATCACATCTATAGAATAGTTAGTTGTATTCTTTAACTTATATCAACTATTAAAAAAGGTTAAAATTTATTTAGCTTTACAATGATCGAGTAGCACAAACATAAAGAGTTGCTGGACTGAGGAAGTTGGTGCGACATAAAATCAACCTCGTCGCGCTATTAATCACTATACTACAAACAAACTACAAACTTAATTGTAAATTGCTCGATTACATGTTAAAAATCATCTCTTAAACTACAACTTTGTTGCTTACAGTTTTCTTCTGACCCAAAAATAAAATACTTCCTCGCATACTAACTTTTTCATGTCGCAATGTAAAAATTGTTAACTCTTTTTAACTATGGAAATTCTATTTTAAATCAAAAGTAAAATTTATTTATACCATTAGATTCTGCATTTAATGCAGATTACGAATATATAAACATTATTGTACTTAATCTTTGTTATTGAATGCTAGGAGCGAGTTAACAGCTTCGCGCACTATTCCATGAATTGGCTAAAATCCGCTGGGTCCCCCATGGTGGTGCGGGAAGGCTGCCACAACGGCGCGCTTTCGTGAACACGTACCTAGCATTCCAGTTGTGTTATAT